TGCAGAATTGTTACCACTCTCCGCAGATTTTGTATACCAATCGAAGGCTTTTTTTTGATAATAACGTACAAGATCATTATATATGCTGTCGCCAACCCTTAAAAAAGTTCTTTTGATAACTTTTTTTGCGTCAATACCATTTTGATAATATTGACCTAGAGAATATTGTCCACTATCATTTCCACCTTCTGCTGATTTTGAATACCACTCAAAAGCTTTTGTTTCTTCTTTTTGTGTTCCAATTCCATGTCCATAACACCGACCAAGATTGTATTGTGCAAAGTTGTTTCCACCATTTGCCGATTTCGAATACCACCCGAAGGCTTTTTCAGCATTTTTTTGTACGCCAATACCATTTTCATAACAATTGCCTAGATTACATTGTGCAGCATCATTATCACTCTCTGCAGATTTATGATACCATTCAAAAGCTTTTTTATCGTCTTTCTCTACTCCGGTTCCATGTTCATAACATAAACCAAGATTATATTGTCCATCGTTATTGCCACTCTCTGCTGATTTTGAATACAAATCGAAAGCTTTTTCGTGATCTTTTTGTGTACCAATACCGTCTCGATAACAATGGCCAAGAAGAGATTGTCCAAAAGCATTTTTATTCTCTGCAGATTTCGAATAACATTCAAAAGCTTTTTCATAATTTTTTTGTACGCCAATACCATTTTGATAACAGAGACCCAAATAACATTGTCCTTCAGCATCTCCACCCTCTGATGATTTTAAATACCACTCGAATGCTTTTTTCTCATCTTTTTGTGTTCCCCTTCCATGCTCATAGCAATGACCAACATAGCATTGTCCTCTGATATATTCGCCTTCTGCAGATTTCAAATAATTCTCGAAGGCCTTTTTGTCATCTTTTTCTACGCCAATGCTATTTTGATAACAGCAACCAAGATTATATTGTCCTTCAGCACTTCCACCCTCTGCTGATTTCAAATACCATTCGAATGCTTTTGTTTCCTCTTTTTGTGTTCCAATTCCATGTTCATAGCACCGACCAAGATAGCATTGTCCTATAGCATATCCTTCCTCTGCTGATTTTAGATACTGCTCAAAGGCTTTTTTATCATCTTTGTCTACACCAATGCCATTTTGATAACAGCGACCAAGGTCAAATTGTCCTTCAGCATTTCCAGCTTCTGCAGATTTCAGATACCATTCGAAGGCTATTTTGTCATCTTTTCCTAGTCCGATACCATTTTCATAACACAAACCAAGATTATGTTGTCCAGCACTATCTCCACCCTCTGCCGATTTTGAATACCATTCAAAAGCTTTTTTATGATCATTTTCTATGCCTATACTGTCTTGATAACAGCGGCCAAGAAGAGATTGCCCAAAAAAATTTTTATTCTCTGCAGATTTCAAATACCATTTAAAAGCTTTTTCATAATCTTTTTTTACGCCAATGCCATTTTGATAACAGAGACCTAGATTACATTGTCCAAACTTGTTTCCATTCTTTGCTGATTTCCGATACCATTCAAAAGCTTTTTTGTCATCTTGTTCCACCCCAACGCCATTTCGATAACAAAAACCAAGATTATTTTGTGCAAAACTGTTTTCGTTCGCTGCAGATTTCTCACACCATTCAAAAGCTTTGGTGTAATTTTTTTCTACTCCTATTCCGTCATAGTATGTAAAGCTGAGCATGTATTGTGCCAGTGAATCTCCATCATATGCGCATTCATTAAAGATTTCATAGGCCACTACATTATTCCGCTCAAAGATAACTCCTTCTTGATACAGGAATCCGATGAAAGTTTTATATTTGACATTGTTTTGCAAATTTTGTAGATAGCTTTTAAATTCCGAAGGAAATTGAGCTTTTTCATCATATTTGTTTCTCAGACATTCACCTATTTCTTTATCTTCCATTTTATTATACTGCTCATTAAAAAATGTTAATAAATCGTATGCCAAAGTTTCAAATTGTTGATTTTTGTTGGCTGAAATTTCTTTAGACACTTTTGATGTAAAAGCTTTGTTAGGCGGAGTTAAAAAGAGATTGTGAATTTCAATGTCAGGATTTGATATAAACTCTTCGGGCCAATCTATGTGCGTTATGGTAGATACACATGTAGTCCATTCTATTTTATTAAGATATTTGTGAACTTCATTGATATCTGGACGGTTTTCTGGTAAATCATCCCAGCATGCTTGGTAAAGCTTAACATATTCATCTGGAGTCCCTTCTATCCTTTGTTGTTTAGATACCCATCCAATTTGTTGATTCGGAGGAGGATGACCACTAGAAAGAACCCAAAATAGCACACCAAGGCTGAAAATATCGGATTTTTTATTTCGTTTAAAGTTTTCCATATCCTTTAAAAATTCCGGGTCAATATAACTAATTAGGCCTAGATTCTTGTTTGAGTGAGATTGATCATTTGCAAATTTTGAATAGCCCAAATCTGCAATTTTGATGTTTCCCTTATGGATAAGGACATTATTATGATGCTATGTAAAAATCCAGGTCTTAGATTTATAAAATATTATCGTTATATAAAAATCTTTTTTTAAAAAAAATCATACCAGATCTCGATGAATAATGTTTGCTTCATGAATACACATCAATCCTTCAGTAAGTTGCTTTGCCAAATTTAGCTTATCGACTCCATTCAGCTTTATAAAGTTAATTTGTAAATATTCCTTAAGTGTTCCACCATCAGCATATTTCATAACAAGCATGTATTTTTCTGAGGTTGGATCTATAATACTTTATTTATGAAAAATACTGAAGAAATTATACGAATTAAGTCAATGCACATTTTATATTTACCCTCAGTGATTCCATAAAAACGAATAATATTTTTGTGATGATTAACTTGAATAAGGGCTTTCAACTACTTGTTCAAAAAATTCATAAAATTAGCAAATTAATAATTCCAGATTTCATTTCGCAATAAAGCTATACCTCTTTAATAAATTGTTTATTAATTTCTTCTTCATTATCTTTTATATGAAAACATTTTAGAGCAAACGTTTCATCCTTCAACTGAGCTTTAAAAACTTCACCAGAACCTCCAATTCCGATTACTTTTTTTTCAATAAATTTATTAAATTCAAAAGATTTTAGCAGTTTTTCTTCGATGGCATGCTTGAGCCAAGTTTTTGCATTTAACGAAGAGAATGACATTTGTTTCTCAACGATCGTGAAAATAGTGCCGATATTGTATATTGCATTGATCTTGAATAGGAAACTATATAAAACCATGTGTGATATGCGTACAAAGAAAGTATTACGTGTATTTTGGTAACAGTAACGGTGATGGTAGCATCACAATAAGCAAATGAATACATGTACAAAGTCGAAAGTTCCCTAATGAATAACGATTACTATGTGATCTCTTTTTAACTTATATACATGTATGTAGCGAGACGAGTATAACTGTTCAAGCTTAGGAAATTATATTTTTATTGACAAAAAATTGAAAATTTTGCTTTCATATTTAATGTCTGCTTAATACTAACACAGAAGAAAAGATGAGTACGTGATCGTTTTGTGAACCTAGAGATCAGGGTAGAAATTCATTTGTGCATGTACTAATATAAAATTTGTATGTAATTTGTTATAAAAATCCTGTTCTATATAAAACAGGAGATTCTTCTCCGGATTTTATAAACTCCTGAATTCCTATAGAAGTTTACAAAAAACAACTAGCGTATGAATCCTTTTCTACCTGTATAAATAGAGAATTAAACCGAATAAATTTAAGCCGATAGTGTAAAACTCGATGAAAGAAAAGTACAAAGGAAAACAAAAGATAAAAATAAAACTTATTGATGCTAAAAAAAGTTTTCTCGCCATATAGGATCAAATACAATAAATATCTCGGCTGAAATCTTTATCAAATAATCGTAAAAAATTAGTCAATCTTTGTTATTGGCCGGTCTTCCAAACTAAATAAGGCTTTTCTTTATATAATATAAAATACACGAAACTAGGTAGAACACTTTATCAACTAATGTAAACTTCAGTACTTGCTATATTTAAAAATATTTCTTTTCATTTTTTCCACAAAATAAATTTAACTTAATCGTACTTTTAATGTCGAATACGATCCCTTTTTTTATCAATAGCATACAAATACATGTAAATGTATTTGTATGCTCGCACCATTTGATTCAAACACATGTACATGTGCTTGATCAAGGATCATGTGCATACCGATACCTCTATTAAACTATTGCTAAAGAGGCAGGTTAGTATTATCGTTATGTGATTATCAAATTTATTAAATGAGACACAAATCGTATATCGTATCTACCATTTTGCGTTAGCATTTTTATTTACGATATGAAATGCAATGCTAGTGCGAAAGTAATAACAATATTATCCGCAAACCTAAGTCAGATACGGAGCTTTTAATACTTCGTTAACGCGTAAAATCAAACTTCTCGAGGATCACAACCATTTCCTAAAAAAGGAAAAATATGTGTTTTCTTTGCAAGACTTATAACAATCAACAGCCAGCCAGATCAAGCGCAAGGTATGCAAAAAGCATTTCTGGGAGGTTGCCCATGGACTGATCATCTACGACTTGCCGATAAACTTTTGGATGGTCGTCAAATGTCTACATCGTCAATACAATGAATCGTCATTAGTTTACAATATCTCGATGAGGTACAGCAAAATAACAACAAAATTTCTTTATTTTATCTAAGCCAATTTCCGCGTTGGATTGTTTAACGATATGAGAAATTTATAGTACATGTACATATAGGAAATATTGCTATAAAGCCGAGCATAAAACGCCCGATCCAATTGTATGTGTTAACTCACAAACTTCAAAATGAAAATATTCAGCGCAGAATTTCAGATAAGCTTGATTTGTGAAGTAGACTAATTTCTAATGAATTTAATCATTACATGTACTCCGCTCTCATGCTAATCGGCGTAGGTTTTTCCGGAAAAAGAAGTATGATGTCGAAAAACATCTTTTTGAATGGGAATTGTCCACATTTTTGTGGCACAACTAATCTCCATTCTCTTTTAATTTCTTGATAATGTGATTTGCTGACTTGATCGCCAGCGCAATACTTGTTAGCGTTGGATTGGCCGCAATCGCTGTTTGTACAAAAAAAGGTTTTTTTGCACAAAAAGATTAGTATGTGTGAAGATATAAATTTACTCCAAGGCAAACAAAGAATAGACATCGTTTTTTGGTAAAATTTTTACCTGTCGGTATAACGCCATTGGAACCAATATAAAGATTACTAAATCCATGAACACAAAGGTTTGTGTCTACCACAGAGTCGTCTGTGTTAGTACCCATGCGTACCGTTCCCTGAAATATAGAAAAGATTATTTACTAAAAAAACATATAAACTTTGTTGGCTTAATATGTATAAAATTCAGACCGTGATATGCAATGCGGTTCCCGGTGCCATGAACTGAGGCCCGCTATCAGGTAAAAAACCACCCAAACTAAGAGCTGCCTTGGTCATATCAATAAGCATGTCGTGATTGGTAGCAGAATCCTCTTTTGAAGTAGTGACTTCAAATTTTGGTTGTGGCATGCCGTACATATCTTTGTATTTGTCGCTGAACATAACTCTGTTTTTTTCATCCGGTTTAGATCTACCAAAATAACGAAAGTCTACAACTAAACGGTTATCAACCGCTAGTGACGTTCTACCATAAGAAAAGGCATCTCGGTGTACTTGGCAGTGCCAAGGGCGTTCGTCATCGTACGGGATCCAGCACTTTATCAAATTGTTTGGTGAGAATAGACTTTTATTTACAAACTCAAATTATTTATCCCATCCCTGTGAAAAATACCTGAGGAAACGGTGTATTAAAGGGAATTTTGATTGGATCATCTGGATACTTCATTGTGTGACTTTTGACCTCTTTAGACCATCTCTCGTCCTGCACCATTTTATCCACGATATCTTTTTTCAACGCAATCTATATTTGGAGAAGCACATCATAGGTTTGTTATGCTTAGAAAAATGATTCAAAAAAGGGACAAAATTTGAACAGTTAATCCCGCATTACCTGGCAAAAGGCAAGAGTCTGCTCGCAGAGATACTTTCCTAATGCAGGCATTTCGATTTCCCATGTGTCCTGACGCTGCTTCGAGTTGTAAAGTAGTTGTGGAGTCAGTATTGCTCCACCGCAAATAATGTAAACTTTGGCCTTTATTCTGATTCGTTCATTACGACGAAGATCTTTAACTATGAGTTCATCAATGACAGCTGGATTTTCATCACTTGGGCTAAGTAGTGTCGCTAGGTGCTGGTCCTGTCAATAAAGTTCGTTCGCACTTAATATCATAATTCAACAGGATGGAATGTATACAAATTATGATTACCTTCAGCTCAAATTTTCTATCTTTATAATTTTTTTCGAGAAGTATATCATAAGGCCCCGTCCAAAAATTGTAGGGCTTCTTGTAGCGGACGGCAAGGGGCAATGCCTTAGGATCAGCTGGGAGAGAACCTAACTTGTTGTAGTGCTTTATGAGTGCTTCCTGCACAGTTGATTGAAGCATAGTACCTTCATATGGATCGGCCGTATGGTAAACGTATCGTTCGGCTTCATCATATAGTTGATCCATTTCCTCATCGGGAATGAGATGAGGAAACCGTTCCTTGCCGCGAAGTCTCGGTACTGAGCAAGTCCAATGGGTGCCCATGCCACCGACACAGTAAGTGGCAGCTGCGGCAGAAAGGTTTACTTTTGGTTCCTGGTCTGGATTTTGATTCAAGTGCATCGTTCTAGATGTTTATAAGTAGTAACGTTCTCAACCAACAGCTTGTCAAAAGGACAATGCCAATAAATGTAACAAACCCATTTTCAAGTTCAACTGTTTGGTCGATTGTGTCAGGATAAATATTGCCACCGGTGGGGACTGAAAGAGTTTGTAGGTGGCCCTTGATAATACTAGTGAACGAATTGATATCTCTCTGATAACGAAAGGCATTTTTAAGGTGTGAGCCTGGCGGATCCGACTCTTTGGCGCCTGCCTCCACCATGATGACATGATAGCCAGCCTCGACAAGGATGCGAGCATATGTACATCCTACTGGCCCAGACCCAACAATCACTACATCACGTCTTATTGGCCTATTTGCCTGTTCCGGTTCTTCTTCGTCTTCTTGTTTACTTTCATTATTTTCGTCGGATTGATTATTATCCATATTGAATAAACGACAACCTTTGGTATCATAAAAGCGGGTAAATGAAAGGAATAACTTTATATATTTTCTTTGAATAGATTAATTGGGGTTATGGGGAAGAAAAAACTAATCCTGTTTACGCCACCAAACACAATCCATTTACATATTGGCAAGAGACAAAACCATCATAACGAACGATGATGTGAGCACATACATGTATATTCGTAGTACCTAAATTAAAAATTTTTTTCTTACATCAGCAAGAGAAATGATGACGTGTTTAAATACTATAATTGAAGAATTAAATATTAAGATGGGTAGAAGATGAAGATGAAGTTAAATTCAAATATCTGTAGAACAGGAATAAAATACGCCCAAGCGTATCACCAATCAACCTGTATTTATCACGCGTAGATTGCCGTGAAATTATGAATATGAGATTAGGCGACAAATTAAAGATGATTCTTTGAACATGTGTACTTTGTCCCACAATCTGACAATGAAATATTCTATAAAAATCAAACATTGTTTTATTTTATTATATGGTTTGTTCATGATGTTAAATGAATACATAATTGGAATTTTTTCTATGACTTTAATTAAAGTACTAAAAAAAACCGTTGTCGTTATAGCGATAGTCTATCGCTATTACCTGTATTTAGACATTAACGGAATACGTGTATTTTGTCCGATTATCACTTCGTTATACATGTACACTCCCCGGTCAAAAGTGTCCGACCACTTTAAAACCGGATAAAAATGCACAAACTTCAACAATTAA